ATTACTCACAAGTCTTTATAATATATCTGCTCCGAAATATATCTTTGCACGAAATAAACATCTTGCAAACATATGCGTGTAAGTTAAGCTATACAGTATGTAAAATGTAACAAAGATGAAAGCAAAAGAAAAAAAAATCTGTAATACTTCGAATTACACATTACTATTATTAAAAAAATTTGTTCATTTTTTAAGGACCCTTAGTAAAAAAAATATGTCCCCACCTTTTTTTTTTATAAATGTTCATTTTTTGTGAAACTATTTTTTTATAGAAAATAATTATTTTTTTTATTGAAATTATACTTTTTATTAATATATTTTTCAGGGAAAAATGAATTTCCCTTTTATTCTAATTATTATGAAACTGACATTAACATTTAAAATGTATTTACTATTTTTAAATGTTTTGTATGACTAAAAAAAAACAACTAGGAATTATTTTTATTAATGTTTCACATTTTGTCTGACATAAACTGACTTTTACTACTGATAAAGAATATTTTTTTGAAAAAATAATTTGTTTGTCTAAAAATATATTTAACTCCCGAAAAGGGTAATTAAAATTAATTTTTAACATTTTGTCTGACTTAAACTGACCTATACTACTGTTAAAAATATTTTCTAGTAAAAAATATTTGTCATACAAAAATTTATTTGTATGACCAATACTTTTGGTCATACAAAACAGTCAAAAATAGTAAAAATATTTTTTCTCAGTAGTATAGGTCATTTTAAGTCAGACAAAATGTTAAATATTAATATAATATTATATTAATTTTATTTATCAGAAGTTAAAGATATTTTAGATTAAGAAAATATTTGAAAATATGTAGGAAAAATATTTTTTATCAGTAGTAAAGACTAGTTTATGTCAGACAAAATGTTTTAAATTATAATTCAAATTCTCCTTAATCAGTAGTTTTAAAATATTTTTAGTAATACAAAAGTAATTAAAAATAGTAAAAATATTTTTTCTATTTTTTAATAATTTGTTAGTCTAAAAATATATTTAATTCCTGATAAAAGATAATTAATTCTAATTTATAAAATATTGTCTCACCTAAAATGACTTTTTCTACTGATAAAAATTTTTTTTACAGTTTTTAACTATTTTGTATGACTAAAAATAATTTATACTACTGTTAAAGAAGAATTAGTATTATTTTTAAATTAACACAAAAGAAAGATTAAATTAATAAATTTTTAGATTAATTTTTTTCAATGAAAAAAATGTGTCTAAATCAAAACCAAAACATTTTGAAAAAATAATCTATCGATGGAATATTTTAATCCATTTTGATGTTAAAATTATACCCCACAATTTTTTGCGAACATTTTGTCTAACTTAAAGTGACCTATACTGCTGATAAAAAATTTTTTTAATGTTAATTAATTAATTAATAATTAATTAATTTAATATTAATTTTAAACAAATTGTCTGACTTGAAGTGACCTGTACTACTGATAAAAATATTTTTATTATTTTTCACTGGTTTGTATGACTAAAAAGTAAAAATTATTATATACTGCTGATAAAAGAGTATTAGTATTAGTTTTAAACATTTTGTCTGACCTGAAATGACCTATACTACTGATAAAAAATATTTTTTACTATTTTCAATGGTTTTACATGAATAAAAATAATTTATTATATCTTACTGATAAAGGAAAATTTGTATTAATTTTCAACATTTTGTCTGGCGTAAACTGTCCTTTACTACTGACAAAAAAATATTTTTAAATAATTTGTTAGTCTAAAAATATCTAACAACTGATAAAAAATAATTTATATTAAATTTAAACATTTTGTCTGACTTAAAGTGACCTATATTTATAATTAATACTGAAAAAATATATTTTTACTATTTTTAACTGTTTTGTATGACTAAAAAGTAGAAATCATTTATACTACTGATAAAAGAGTATTAGTATTAATTTTAACCATTTTGTCTGGCATAAACTGTCCTTTACTACTGACAAAAAAATATTTTTAAATAATTTGTTAATCTATAAATATCTAACAACTGATAAAAAATAATTAATATTAAATTTTAATATTTTGTCTGACTTAAAGTGACCTATACTACTGAAAAAATATATTTTTACTATTTTTAACTGTTTTGTTGACTAAAAATATTTTACACTGATGAAGGAGAATTTGTATTAATTTAAAACATTTTGTCTGACATAAACTGGCCTTCACTACATATTTTCAAATATTTTGTTAGTCTAAAAAAATCTTTAACTGCTGATAAAAGTTATTTAATATTAATTTTTAACATTTTGTCTGACTCGAAGTGACCTGTACTACTGATAAAAATATTTTTACTATTTTTAACTGTTTTGTATGACTAAAAAGTAAAAATGATTTATACTACTGATAAAAGAGTATTAGTATTAGTTTTAAACATTTTGTCTGACCTAAATTGACCTATACTACTGATAAAAAATATTTTTTTTACTATTTTCAACTGTTTTGTATGACTAAAAATAATTTATTATATCCTACTGACACAGGAGAATTTGTATTAACTTTAAAAATGTTGTCTGACATAAACCGGCATTTACTACTAATGAAAAATATTCTTACTATTTTTTAATAATTTGTTAGTCTAAAAATATCTTTAATTCCTGATAAAAGAAAATTAATTCTAATTTTTAACCTATAGTCTGTCATAAACTGACCTATACTACTGATAAAAAATATGTTTACTAATTACCTATAACTATTTTGTATGACTATAAATTATTTATTATATCTTACTGATAAAGGAAAATTGTATTAATTTTAAACATTTTGTCTGGCGTAAACTGTCCTTTACTACTGACAAAAAAATATTTTTAAATAATTTGTTAATCTATAAATATCTAACAACTGATAAAAAATAATTAATATTAAATTTTAATATTTTGTCTGACTTAAAGTGACCTATACTACTGAAAAAATATATTTTTAATATTTTTATTAGTTCTAACTGTTTTGTATGACTAAAAATATTTTATACTGATAAAGGAGAATTTAAATTATTTTAAAACATTTTGTCTGACATAAACTGGCCTTAACTACAAATCAAATATTCTGTTAGTCTAAAAATATCTGTAACTGATGATAAAAATTAATTAATATTCATTTGTAACATTTTGTCTGACTTGAAGTGACCTGTACTACTGATAAAAATATTTTTACTATTTTTAACTGCTTTGTATGACTAAAAAGTAAAAATTATTTATACTACTGATGAAAGAGAATTAGTATTAGTTTCAAACATTTTGTCTGACCTAAAATTACCTTTACTACTGATAAAAATATTTTTTATTTTTGAAATAATTTTTTAGTCTATAAATACCTTTTACTCCTTGTAAAAGATAATTAATATTAATTTATAACACATTGTCTGACTTAAAGTGACCTATACTAATGAAAAAAATATTATTACTATTTTTAATTATTTTGTATTACTAAAAATATTTTTAACTACTGATTAAGGAGAATTTGAATTGTAATTTTAAACATTTTGTCTGACATAAACTAGTCTTTACTACTGATAAAAAATATTTTTGCTACAAATTTTCAAATATTTTGTTAGTCTATAATTTTTTTAAGAACTGATAAAAAATAATGCATTTTAATTTTTAACAAATTGTCTGACTAAAAATGAGCTATACTACTGAAATAAAAATATTTTTAGCATTTATAAATATTTTGTTAGTCTAAAAATATCTTTAACTTCTGATAAATAAAATTAATATTAATATTTAGCACTTTGTCTGACTGAAAATTACCTATACTACTGATAAAAAATATTTTTACTATTTTTTACTGTTTTGTATGACCAAAAATATTTTATACTACTGATAGCTATTTTTTTAACTAAAAACTATTTTTTATCAGTAGTATAGGTCAGTTTAAGTCAGACAAAATGTCAAAAATTAATATTAAGTACCCTTATCAAGAGTTAAATATATTTTTAGACAAACAAATTTTTTTTTTTTTAAATATTCTTTATCAGTAGTAAAGGTCAGTTTATGTCAGACAAAATTTTTATAATTTCTACTAATTTTCCTCTATCAGTAGGTAGTATAAATTATTTTCAGTCATTTTAGTTGAATATAGTAAATATATTTTCCGTCAGTAGTAAAAGTCACTTTAAGTCAGACAAAATGTTAAACATTAATAAAAATAATTCCTATAGTTGGTAGGAAAAGCAATTTTACTATCTTTGATTATTTTGTACGACTAAAAATATCTTGTACTACTGATAAAAAAATTAATTTAAAAATTTTTTTTAGAACTATTTTGGCTAAGTTAAACTGACATTTACTACTAACGAAAAAATAATTATTTATACATTTAAAAAATTTGGTCTGACCTAAACGACTGTTTACTACTGATCACAGACTTTTTTTTAAAATTTATTGTTAATCATTTTGTCTAGCTGGAACTGTCTTTCACTACTGAGGAGAAAACACGATTTTTCTTTGTTGAACTTTTTGCCTGAGTAAAATTTTCTTTTTTGATTGGATCGCTAATGGAAAATATTCACCAGAAAAGTTTTTTGAATAATTCAACTGTTTTTTTTTTTTTTTTTTTTTATATCAAAGCTAGTGAATAAATTTTATTAATTTACCAATTATCAATTAATGAATAAATTTATTAATTTAGAAATATAATAAATAAATTTACTAATTTAGAAATTAATAAATAAATTTACTAATTTAGAAATTAATAAATAAATTTACTAATTTAGCAATTAATTAATACATTTATTAATTTACCAATCAATCAGCAAATTTATTTTTTTTACAATCAATTAGTAAATTTATTTATTTACCAGTTAAATAATAAAATAAATTTATATATTCAACAATTAAAAGTTCAAAATTGGGTTTTTTTCCAAAATATGATAAGATTGAAATTATTCGAAATTCAATAGTTTTGTTATGTTTCCGTATCCTGGCAACCAACACTGAAGTCCTTCATGTTGACGATTCGCTACCTAAAGTGTACTGTACACATTTTACACCAGCTAACCATCAATTAAATTTTTAAAAACTAGCCTAAATGATTTTTTTTTAATATTAAAATTATAGTTTTGTTCTACTAAAAACAAAATGCACTTTATAAGTATTTATTTACTCCAACATTAAATTCGAGTCTAGAGTTGACTAAATATAATGACAACTCGAACAAATTCAGATACGTAAACAAAATAAAAAAAAATCATGTCAGGAAGAGGATTTTGCGTTAAAGTAGAAATCGATTTACACGCTGTAAGTATTTTTTAATTTTAAGCCGAGTTTATTTTCTGTTTTCTATTTCTAATTAATTTTTAATTTAACAAATTACATTCTAATTTAATTTTAACTATTGGATTTATTAAACTAAATTCTAATTTAATTTTACTTAAATGAATGAAATTAAATTCTATTTTAATTTTAGCTAAATTAATTTAATTAAATTCTAATTTAAGTTTACTTAAATTAATTTAATTAAACTCTTATTCTAATTTTCTAATTTTTGAATTCAAATTTTCTAATCAAATAGTAGATTTACTTGTAATCTAATAGTAATAATAGTAGATTTATACAAATTCGAATTTATAATAAAATTTATATTCAAGATCACGTGTCCTGGTGTTTGGCTCTGTCCTAATGGCAAAGTGGCACTTCGAATAAATACTCTAAAGTCTTCTATTGAATCTCATCGAATTTCGCCAATTTTCCCTCTATTATTTCATGATAAATTTACATTTAAAATGGTCTTTAGAGGAGTAACTTCGCTAGGTGCTTTGCAACGTAAATTAGAGGATGAATTTTTCTACACAGAATTATTACAGTGGACCGAAAATTCCAGTGGATTTGTAATTTTATCAACGTTTGAGACAAATTTAGCAGATTTATTATATCCCTCGTCTTGTCTCAAAGGATTACTCGCCGGCGTTGATGTTGATTTACTGATGGAGCCCACCAAATTTTTTCCCGTAGGTCTAAAAAAAAAGGAAAAATATTAACACAAACAAAAATAACAAAATTTTTTTTGGAAAATAATTTTTGAAATTAAATTAAATTCTACAAGTTTTGGAATTAATAAAATATTAAAAAGAATAAAAGTAAAATAATGAAATCCGAAAAGAATAAAAGTAAAATAATAAAATTCGAAAAGAATAAAAGTGAAATAATAAAATCAGAAAAGAATAAGAATAAGAATTTAATAATGAAAAAATAATTATATTTATCAGGGTATTCTGGCTCCGAAAATAGAAGTATCGACGAAAACAATGGTAGAGGAAATTGTCGGAATTTGTGACTCGAATACAACAGGAGCGTTTGTTGTTAATCCAAAAATAATCCATTCGAAGGTAAAATATTTTGCCTTCATAATTGACGAATTTTTTTCAAAGAGTAATTCTTTTTTTTTGAAAAGAAAATAAGATTAAAATGAGAAAAATAATTCGAATACGAATCGTTGTAATTTTTAGAATGCATCCAATATTAATAGAAAACAGCCGGCTAAGGGAATTATTAGACAAAGAAAAGTTTGTCACAGTAAAGGAAAATCCAAATATCAACCTTGTCGTTCGTAAGCAAAATTCAATTTTTTACATTGAAATATGAAAATATATTTATCAATTTTTAAAATATAAATATTAAAATATTAATTAATATATAAAATGTAAATAAATATAAAAAATATTAATTATCAATTAATTAATTTATTAATTATCATTCAATTAATTTATTAATTAATAATTAGTATTACAAATATTAATTAATACATAAAATATAGAACATAGAAATAAATATTAATTAATATTAATTAATATTTTTTAAAAAAATATTTAAATTTCGTAACTAACGAAAATTAAACTCGCAGATGTAAGAAAGTGACAATAGTGAAAATTCCTAGATCTTGTTCTCCGGTATCATCCGATCGTTATACTGAATCTCCATCAGAATGTTATCATAAACAGTCGAAAATATCCAATTCTAGTTGCACCAACTCTCATAGAAATTGTTTCAACAAAAAGAGCCATAAATTCGAAACTTGTCCTGTTTGCTCAAAATATAATTGTTACTTTTCTGAAAAAGAAGATTTTTGCTGTAATAAATGTGAGAGCATGAAAATAATTGATTCCTCGCCAAAGGCTCAGGAAGTACTTAATTCATATTTGGAAAAAGAAAATAATTGTCAATTTCAATTGAAAAGTTCACCTCCATTGAAAGATCCTGCAAATTCAATGTTAGTATTATTCAATTATAATTTAACTACACAAAAATTTTAGTAAATTTTACTTGAAATAAATTAAATTCAAAAAAATGCAAATTCAATTCAAATTAAATTCCATTTAAACAGAATTCAATTAAATTAAAATCAAGAAAATTCGAAAAAAAATTGAATTTTAATTAATTTAAATCCAAATTCATATAAATTCGAATTAAATTAAATTAAAATTAAAGTAAATCCAAATTCAAATAAATTTGAGTTAAATTGAATTTGAATTCAATACAAATTCATATAAATTCGAATTAAATTAAATTCAAATTAAATTAAATCCAAATTCAAATAAATTTGAATTAAATTCAAAGTAAATTTCAAATTAAACTGAAGTCAATTAAATTTTAATTAATTTAAATATAAATGCAAATAAATTCGAATTAAAGTAAATTTAAATTTAAATACGCAGGTTTGAGTTAAATTGAAATTGAATCAAATCCAAATTCAATTAAATTAAATTCAAACGGAATTCTATTAAATTTGAATTAAAGACAAATTCGAATTAAATTAAATTCAAACTGAATTCAATTAAATTTGAATTAAAGCCAAATTCAAATAAATTCGAATTAAATTAAATTCAAATAAATTCGAATTTAAATAAATATGTGTTAAATTGAAATTTAATTCAATTCAAATTCAAATAAATTCAAATTTAAATTAAAGTCAAGCTAAATTCAAATAAATTTGAATTAAATTCAATCAGATTCAATCAGATTCAATTCAGTTAAATTCAAAGTAAATTAATTTCAAATTAAACTGAAGTCAAACGGAATTGAATTAAATTATAGCTAAATTTAATTCAATTCTAATTCAACCAAATTCGAAGTAAATTAAATTCAAACTAAATTCAATTAAAGTTTGATTAACTTAAATCAAAATTCAAATAAATTTGAATTTAATTAAATTTAATTTAAATTAAAGTCAAACTGAATTCAATTAAATTATAGATAAATTTAATTCAATTCTAATTCAACTAAATTCAAAGTAATTAAATTCAAACTAAATTCAATTAAATTTTAATCAGATTAAGTCAAAATTCAAATAAATTTGAATTTAATGAAATTTAATTTAAATTAAAGTCAAACTGAATTCAAATGAATTTGTATTAAATTCAAATTCTATTCAATTAGAATGAAAGTAAATTAATTTTAAATGAAATTGAAGTCAAACTGAATTAAATTAAATTTTAATTAATTTAAATCCAAATGCAAATAAATTCGACTTAAAGTAAATGTAAATTTAAATACGTAGATTTGAGTTAAATTGAAATTTAATTCAATCCAAATTAAATTAAATTAAATTCAAACTGAATTCAATTGAATTTAAATTAAAGCCAAATTCAAATTAATTCGAATTAAATTAAATCCAAATTCAAATAAATTTGAGTTGAATTAAATTTAAAATCAAATTTAAATTCAAATTTAATCTAATTAAAATTCAAATCAATTTAATATAATTAAATTCAAATCAATTCAGTTTAATTTAAATTCATATTGAATCCAATTAAATTCAAATTCAATTCAATTCGAATTGAATTTTTACATTAAATAAAATTTAAAATTAAATTAAATACATTTCAGTTTAAGAGATAGAATACATCAGCTACAGAAAGCAAAAGAAAAATTCTCTCATGACACGTGTATTGCAGACAGGTAAAAATTTACAAATTATTTCTCGATTATATTTTCTTCGTTCATCAATAATTGAAAATTTAATCTTTTTAGCTTCTGTGTTTGTGATCCGGCGTCAGATTATTGCGATCACAGTAGACCAGAATTTTACAAAAATTTAGAAAAATTTTACAAGAGAATGTATAAACAAGCAAAATTACGTGCTGAACAAATGGATTGTTATTGATTTTATCCACTCTAAGGATGAATATTGAAATTTATTAAACTTGGAGAATTTTCGTTTTGTGACAAAAGGTTTGCTATTTACTGTTTGTGAAATAAATGTGTTTAATATTTAAATATTCTTGTAATATTTAAATCTCTTCTCTATTAAGTATTTAATTTGTATTTCGAATCGAATAATTAAATTTAATATTTTGAAAATTAAGTTCGAGATTTAAATCGTAAGTAATTAGTTCTTTCATTTTGAGAAATGTATTTTTAATAATTTCTAATTTCTTTTCGTGCGAAGATCTTTACGTATAAAATTAAATAGTTTTAATTATAATTATAATTTTTCATTATAATTACCATATTAGTTTTAATTACTAATATGGTATTTTTATTTCTGAATTAAAACAAAATTTTCTTACCTCTTCTCTTTTGTAAAGAAAAAAATCCTTTCGTTTAATTTTTAATTCAATTGATTTAAATTTCGATTTTAAAATTCTTTCTCATCCGTTAAAAAGGACTTTATTCTATCGACTTTTATAAAAACATTCGAATATCTTTTTTTTTACATATTTACAAAATATCAACAAATTAAAAATCGGGTCTTTTGGTGTAAATTGCTCTTCCTTTTTTGTATGCCGGAGTGTTTGCTATCCTCACTCCTCGAAGGTTTACTGAATTTTTTAAAAGAGCAGGAGTTCTTAAAAATAATCCCTTTCCTTCCGGTGTCCAAGCTTTCAAGAAAATTTGTTCGTCTGCTTTTGGTGTAATTGATACCCAACCTTAAAAAGACAACAATTACAATCAGAAACGAATTTAACAAGTTTTGTTTAAAAAAAATTTTGATTTAAAATCCTACCGGCACTTGAGAGTACAACGTCTGCAGCAGATTCTTCTTCAGATATTCCAGTAACTTCCATGTCCCTAGAAACTAATTCCGGCCATAATCTCAATCGTTCCGGGTCATTTGTAGGAACTCCAAAAGCTTTAGTGTACAATAAATCGCCGTAGATAACGTCAGCATCATTTGTATAACAAATTGTCAATGGGAGTTTGTGACTTGCAAAAACTGTGCATCTGTGGAAAATACAATAATTTTTGTATTTTTAATAATAATTTTTCTGTCTCATATAAAAAAAATTATAAAGTTTCTAAATATTGCTTAAAATTAAAAATATTGCCTTAAAAACTTAAAAGGTTTTTAATTTTTATTATAATCAGTAATTAACGAAAATATTGCAAATATTTTTAATGTTTTAAAAATTTAAATATTTTAAATATTTAAATTTTTAATTTTCCCAGAATTTTTCACGAAATAAATATTTTAATTTTTTAAATTTTAATATTTTTAAATTTTTAATATTTCCTCCATCTAAACGTTCCAAACTTTGTGGATCATAATTCAAATAGTTTTTTCTTGAGTTGTATTTACAAGACAAAAAAAATTACCTTATAAACGATGGAACACTCAAAAAGTCAATTCTGCCCATTCCGGCAAGGAATAAAGTTTGATTTTCTCTAATGACAAATGTTCGAGGAACAATTATTCGACTCGGTAGTGTCATCAGCAATTCGTCAGTGGTCAAAAGATGTAAAATTTGATCCGGATGAATACTTCCCGGAGTGTCGTAGCACCATTTGCTGTTTTCAAATTCTTCTGCATTTTCATCTAAACCAAATTTTTTCTGAATTACCGTTCTATGAGTGCCTAAGGAAAAATTATCAATTTCGTCTTCTTTTATAGGAACTTGAAATGTTCTTCCAATTCTTCCTGAAATGAAAAAAAGAAATTACAGATTATTAGACATTTTCCGCATTTGTTTAAAAATCATTGTTTTTTATATTTAAAATTATTGTTATTATGGAAAATATTCTAATCTATTTTATTAACGTTTGTTAATAAAATAGAAAATATTAAATAGATTTAATTCTTCTTGAATTCTTTTTGTTTGATTTATAAATTTTGAAATTACCAAGAATTTTAATATAATCATTTTTTCTGACAATAATTGAACTTTATAGAATATGAATCTGAATTTATATTATTTATTTAATTTTATTTTTTATTTTACTAAATTCAATTCTTGAAGAAACATAATAAAATTACTTAAAAATTATTTAGCGAATATTTTTACTAAAAATTCCAAAAAATATTTTTACTAAAAATTACAAAAAATACTTTTACTAAAAATTACAAAAGATATTTAATTTTCAAAGAGTTGCATTTGCAATTTTTATAAGTAATTAAATTTCAAAAGGTTTTAGAAAATTAGCATTTAACAAAATTTGAATTAAAATTTTCTATAAAAATTAGTTTCCTGAAAAATTTTTAATCAAATTGCGTTGAAATTAGAATTTTTAAATATTTTAATTGAAGAATTTACGAATAATTAAAATTTCATAAAATTGAATTGTAAAAAAGTGGATTTCAGAAATATTTTAGTTCTTTTTTTTCTTCGAATAATTAAACTCTCAAAGAAGTTTCTAAACAGTTATTAAAAATAAACGATTCAGAGAAGAATTTCAGTAAGAAATTCTAGAAAATAATTTTGGAAAAGTTACAGCAGTAATTTTTGAACATTATTGAACTTCAAAAGGTTTCAAATTGAAGTTTCAGGAAATTTTATTGGAATATAATTTAATTTTTAAATATTTTAATTAAAAAATGTTTAATACTTGAAATTTCACCAAATCGAATTGTAAACAATAATGTATTTCAAAAATATTTTAGATGAATTTTCTTTTTTTTCAATAAATTTAATTTTCTCACAAAGAAGACAACTAATTTCAAAAATTATTAACAATAATTAATTTAAAATGGAATAATAGTTAGAAATTCTTAAAAATAATTTTAGAGAAATTACAATAGCAATGTTTGCATATAAATTATCGAATTTTAACAATTTTTAAATTAAAAATTTTTGAAAGTCTTAATTCTTATGGAAAAATAATAAAAGCGATTAAATATTTAGCTAAAAAAATTATTGATGTTTCGAATAATTTTACAATTAGAAATATTCACAAATAAATGTATCATAAATATTTTTTTTTGCTTATCTAATAATTTTTTTTTTAAATTTTGAAATATTTTGAATTATTTTAGAATATTCTTTAGGAAAAAAGGAATATTCTTTAGAAAAAATCAACATTCTGTCTGGAAATCAGGAAAAAACGAAATAAAATATTTCTGGCAACCCTGCTAAATTTTCGCACTTATTTTTTTTATGAAATTTTGTGAAAGAAAATATTTTCTCCAAAAATCAATACCTTGAAGTGTAGCGAAAAGGAAATTTTTCGACACACTGAATTGATGCCTGAGCAACTTTTCATTCCAGCGTTTACTCTCATTTTGAGCCATAAGTCTTTTAGTTCTCTCAAAAACTCGCCATTTATTGGGATTAGTTAAAGGAAATTTAAGTAAACTTAAGGTCGTCCCAGGCCAGGGAGAAGTTGTTGCTCGTTGTATAAGATCGATGGCTTGAACTTTGCAAAAATCAGACTGTAGTAATGCGTTAAACAACGAAGATTTTCCTACGTTCGTACAGCCTACTAGGTATACGTCACCTGTGAACAAAAATTCGTTATTAATTAAAAACAATTCAAGGTCTCTAAATTTATTAACTTGACACTTAATTTTTCAATGTCAAATCGAATTCAAATTCAAATCTTTATTTTTATTCAAATCAAGAAATTTCGAAATTCAAATCTTTATTTTGATTCAATTCAAGAAATTGCGAAATTCAAATCTTTACTTCGATTCAATTCGAGAGATTTTGAAATTAAAATCTTTAGTTTGGTTTAATTCAAGAGATTTCGAAATTTAAATCTTTATTTGGATTCAATTCCACAGATTTCGAATTTCAAATCATTCTATTTGATTCATTTGAAGAGATTTCGAAATTCAAATATTTATTTTAATTCAATTCAAGTGATTTTAAAATTCAAACCTTTATTTTGATTCAATTAAAGAGATTTCGGAATTCAAAATATTTATTTTGATTCAATTCAAGAGATTTTGAAGATCAAATCTTTATTTTGATTCAAATCTTTATTAATTATAAAATAGCGAACCTCTATTACGCCACTTGTTCTGAATTTTCGTGATAAGTGTTTCAATTCCAAAACCAGATTTCGCCGAAACAAGTGCAACGTGTTTTATACATTGCTCCCTGACACCAATTTTCACAACTTCATTTCGTAAATACTCGGTAATGTGATTGAAAAATCCTGGACTGTCTTGAGGAAGTAGATCAATTTTATTGCCAACAACAAATAAAGGTGTTCTACGTCCAATAATGGCACCAATATCCGGCCAAATACTATTTGGAAAATCTGTGAGATCAACTATTAAGATAACAGCGCAGCCTCTGTTTTTTATGGCTCTTAATAATTCAGGATATTCTTCCGGAGAAACCTTCACGTCCAGTGCGGTATTATAGAATTTCATAAAGTGACAACGCTGACAAATTAAAGTCTTGAGAACATCTTTATTTTGATTTTCCAATAATTCCGATGGTAAATAGCCGGGAATTTCGGAATCTTTACAATGAAGTAGTGCACCACATCCACCGCATGGAACGGAAGTAACTTGAGAATCAGGATTCGATGTTCCATACTGTGCTTCCCAGGAGTCTTCATATTTGTCATTAAATGTCTCATAATCAGTCATCCAGTTTGATGGAATTTTCGATAAATCGTCTCCCAATCGTACGCAGAGTTTTTCTGTAGGGAAAAAATGACTAGTTATTTTTTTTCCTAAAATTCTAAACGTTCAAATGAATGCAGTTTAATTTATTTCTTCTTGAAATTCAATTTTTATTAGAATAATTTAGAAGCGCTGTTAAAAAAAATTAATTATCAAGCTTTTAAAATGTAAAAAGATTTCTAATTTTTATTGCAATCAGTAATTTAAGAAAACATTTTTAATAACAAATATTTCGTTCATTCGAATACAAAAAAAAACTTGTGAATCATAAAAAATTAATTGTTTAACTAAGTAAATCAAGATTGCCACAAAAATTTCATTTTTCCCTAATTTCAAGACAAAATTTTGATTTTTTCTCTGCCTCTAAAAAATATTCTGAATATCTTTAATTGTAAGATTATTTATAATAGTTTTATTTAAAATAAATATTTTACCATTATTTTTTTTTTTTAAGGAATTAAAATTTTCAAAAATTTCAAATTCAAAAACTAATAAGAATATTGTTACTGAAACTTTTTCGAAATTATTTTCATAATTCAAATTCAATTATTTTCTAGAATATTTTTAACTAAAACTCTTTTTTAAATCAATTATTTTTAGTAACTTTTGACAAAGATCTTTGAGTTTTTAAATCCATTACTTTACAATTCAATTTACAAAGTAAAAATAGAAAAAAAATAATAAAAACTTAAAATAATTCAAAAAAATTAAAATTAAATCTTTTCAAAAAAATTTGTTTAACAGAATTGTTAATTAAAAGTATAAAAAATTCAGCTTTTAAAGATTTGAGTTTGCAATTTTTCCAAAAATTCGATTATTTCAAAATATTGCAATTATTTTTAACTCCTCTAAAATTCAATTATTTTTTTTCGAGTTTTTAAAATAAATTCTTCTCTAAATCAATTATTTTGTATTAATATTCCTCTAAATAAATTATTTTTAAATAATTAAATAAGTAATAATTAAAAATATATTTAAAAATTCAAATAATTTCAACAGAATTCGGATTACATTTTTCAAAAACATTAATTCCACAGAATTGTTAGTTAAAAATATAAAAAATTCAAATTTTTAAAGATTTTAATATGAAAACTTTTCAAAATTTAATTATTTTTAAAACTTTTAAAATAAATTCTTCTCTAAATCAATAATTTTATTTTAATATTTCTTTAAATAAATTATTTTCAATAATTAAATAAAACTAATAATTAAATGTATATTAAAAATTCAAATAATTTCAACAGAATTCGGAATAAAATTTCTCAAAAACATTATTTCTACATAATTGTTAATTAATAATATGCAAAATTCAAATTTTCAAAGATTTTAATTTAAAATCTTTTCAAAAGTTATTTTTAAATTAATTTTTATTTGAAAATTCTACGAGAATGAATTTTATTATTTAAATACAGAAATAAACAATTTTTGAATAAATGATTATTTCTAAAATTGTATTTTAAAGAATTTTATGAAAATTTTTTTAAATTATTGAATTTGGTTGACGAATTTTAATAAAAATTGCATATTTTCTGGAATATATTTAAAATTGTATTAAAAATAATTGAAATGCTACGATGAGTTGCATTTTTTTATAAAAATAATTGAATTCCTTTGAAGAATTTTATTATTTACGAAAATAATAATTTAATCTCTGAGGTGAATTTTAATATTTATGAAAATAATTTAATTCCTTGCCAGAGATTTATTAAAATTTTCTAAATAATAGAATTCCAGTGAAAAATTTTATTTATTTGTGAAAATAAATTGAATTTATGAGAAGAATTTAAAAAAAAAAATGTTTAAATAATTAATTTTTTTTGAAAAAGTTTATGCAAATGCTACTTTAAGTAATTTAATTCCTTTAAAATTTTTATTTGTGAATATAATTGAATGTATTTAATCAAAATTTTTTTTTCTTTTGGAAAATTTTATGAAAATAGTTAATATTTAAAATCATTATTTTTCCTGACTTGTGTCAGCTCTGTAATTGTTTAGTTAACATTTTGTTTAATTTCAGTATCGTAATTTTGAAAAATATTTAAATAGACAAGAATTTTTTGTTCATTTGAACGTTCAAAACGAAAAATTAATTTTCTTCTTACACTAAAATGTGAAAATAATTCTTACTCTGTAAATTCTCAGTTTGTTCTGTAGTTTTCATAGTTTCCAAGTATTTTTCGTAAAGAACTTTAAACTTTTTGTTTAGTGTGTCATTTTTTGTTGTCGACTTTAGAATTTTTGTTGCAACCGTTTGAAAACTATCTTTCGCAGCGTAAGGCATGTAAATAGGTTTCGAGTCAACATCCAATTCTTCTGAGACTTCTTCAGTATTTTCTTCCATAGATTTTTTATCATCACCATCATTGTTTAATGTCACACTAAATACAGGAGTTGTCATTAATGTTTCTCTCTCCATTGAATCCAATTTCTGTTTCATTAGATTTATAATTCTTCTATTTTCATCATGTCCAAATCTTAATGATCTTTGTAGAAAATAATCAGAGAATAACAATTTGTATCTCCACTTTTCAATTCTTGGATCAATGTCCCTCTTTTTAAATTCATCTTCATTGAAATTTACTAAATCGTGAATAATTGCGGACTTGGGTCCGTGGTGAATCAACATTTGAGAGGAATATAACCCCAAATTATATCGACACAGTATTTTCTTGTGTCTCAGACTTGCTGAGTGTTTGACAAAAGTTTGTAACATTTTCTCGCTTTTGATAGAATTTGCAAAATTAATAATTCATTAATTATTCCTCTTTTGTTTACATTCGATTTTGTTTCTCTATGATAAACATGTGCGGAAAGTGTCAATCAACAACAGTATTTCTATTGTTGAAAAAAGTATTTTTGACTTTGTTTTTCATCTTTTTCGTTAAAAAGAAATATTGCGAAAAAGGTTAAAATCGATATTCTAAAAATAAATAAGTTTAAGTATTTATTTAATTGAATAAAAACGGTATTTAGAAAGTTAATTAAATTTTCTAACCTCAAATTAATACACTTTCGGTGCTTTTGGTAGAAATATGAATCTTTTATGTTAATTCACTAGATTTGTGTACTTTTTTAAAAAACTACATTTTATAACAAAATTTCCATGAATTTTCCATAAAAATAATATACATTAATTAATAACTAATAATATTTATTTCATTTATTTTGATCTTCTCTTTAAATTTTATTTTTGTTGATACTTGACAGACTGAGTGGGACTAGGCAAACTGTGTACGTACCTTTATGCAGTCACGTGACTACTTTCACACTGGTAACTGCTGCCATCTGCGACTAAATTCATTATATTCACGCGTACAGTAATATGGCTGCCAAATAGATTATAGATAAGTGATTTGTGTTTTGACTATTTGTGATTATTTAATTACAGTGAAAATATTTTACAAGACAATATTGTTTAATGCCCAAAAAGGCACACAAATATACGTGAGTTACATATTTTTCTTTTTTCCTAAAACTAATATTATTCTAATCTTTTAATTGTTCTCCACGATGTGAAAATTTTAGGTACTTTTAATAGATTTTCGAATTTTTCATTGTTCTTGCTAATTAAATAAAATGTTTTCGATTTAACGGGAAGAAATGATTTGAAATTTGATCTAAATAGTTGAATATAGGTGAAATAGTGTTTTAATTAATTTTTATTGTCAACTTTTTGATGTATGTTACAATTGACAATTAATTTTTAGGTTATCTTTTTTCGCAAATGTCAAATGTGTATATATTTGCTGATAAATAATTATGGATTATCTCATTTTGTTTCGCAGTAATTTCGATTAATTTCATTCATTTCAACTTTTGAATGTTGTGATGTGAAAATATTCGCAATTGTATTTTATTTATCAATTTTGTAGCGGTTTTTAACTTTAACTTTTTGTTTGTTTTTTTTTTTTTTGAGAAAAAAATGTCGAGTAGTGCAGTGGAGAACTTATATTTGGAATATATTCGTAGATTAAATTTACTGTGCAGAAAATTTGCACGTGTAAAAGATAATAAATAATCGGACATTATGTGAAAAGGGATTAAAATTATAAAATCAGGTAATAAGTAGAATTATTTTATTATTGATTTAAATTTCTATTCTCGAGTTGTCTTTTTATTTTATTGTTTTTCGGTTTGTTTATACAATTTATCTTCGGTCAGTTTTTTTATTTTTAAATGTTTAAATAATTGACAGCAATGAAAAAAATTGGAAATTAGCCAGACATTTTGTCTTGAGAAAAAAATTTCCATTTTGCAAAATTTAAATTTCCGTTTTGTCAGTTTTCCCGTTAATTGCGATTTTTTTCAAAACACGTGAAGTTTTATTTTCTTTCTTTTAACTTCAGAGTTTTTTTTAGGTTTGTTTATTTTTATTATAATGTTTATTTTTATTATAAAAAAAAGTTCGTGTTTTTTTCTTAATAAACTTTTAATGTTTACTGAACGTTAAAAATTAAAAGCTATATTTATCATTCTTAAACACTTGTCTTCGAAACTATTTATATTAAAATGTAAATTTACATATTTAAATATAAATTTTAGTATAATTTTATAAAATTTATATTTAAATAAATAAATTTAATTTATAATATAAATTTAGAAAATTTATATTTAAATATAAATTATAATTTATAAATTTAAAATATAAATTTGCATAGTATTATAATTAACATGAAATAAATTTTCTTTATTGATGAGAATATTTTTAATTGAGAAATTTATAAAAAGTCTGGTTTGACTTTTAAAAAAATATTTTTTAACAAGAAACTGAACTATATATTTTTATAAACAGATCGACTTGTTCCAAACTATAAATTGTGTTCAAAATTAAGAAATCAAAACAAAGTTTATTTTAAACAAAGGTTACATAATTTTATTTACACGAGAAGTTTCTTTACCATTAAAAGAAAATAATCGCATTTATCTTATGTTGCAAAATGCGTTTATTTTATTGTTCACATAGTTTATATAAAGAAAAAAACCTTTTGTTCTTTAAAAAACAAAAATTTTCTTCAATATAATAATAAAATCATTTTAATGTTATTTTCGAATAAATAAAACAATTAATGCTTACGATTATTGTGAATATAGGGAAGAACAGTATTTTTGGCCAAAGATGACTCAACGTCACCTACACAAAGTCATTTACTTTACTTTCAAATAATCATTCGTCTCTCGAAGATGAATTAAAAAATCTCTTATTTTTTTTTAAAATTTTATTATTGATACGAAATATCAATAAAAAAATTTAAATAATTTTTAATTCTGAAAAAAATGAAAGGGGGAATTAAATTTATAGACAGATTTTTTTAATGGTATTTTTTCGTTTGTGAACTCTTTTTCTTTGTAATCTCTCTCTCTCTCTCTCTCTCTCTCTTCTTTTTTAGACGATGTGTTTAATTGTGATGATGTGTTCAATGTATATATATATATAAACTGACGGATAATAATCTCGTATATCCAGAAATGGAACGATAATCTCTTATTTATCACCTTTAGTAACAGGAATAGGAAAGAGAATTCCTTATGGAATGGCTAATCGAGAAAAATACTTTACCGGCATAGCAATCACGTTAGTTGATGTTATTTGGTTCGTTAATTACCTGAAACGAACAATCCAGGATGGTCAGAGAGAGACGATGGATCTGGGTCGGTCTAAAATAGCTGCTACTGCATTCACCTAACACCCCCACTTTGTGGTGCGTCGTTGGCGTCTCAATGAAAAAGAAATCTTCTTCAAAAATTTTATACTTTTCAATCTTTCAATTTCATTGCAAATTCATTCAATTTTCCAATCGACAATCTTCAAACGAGATCAATGTCAAGAATTCTTTTTTCTCCTTCTAATTCCAAGTTTCGATTAATTTTAACCTTGATTCATTCAAATTTGGTGTTGTAAAAAGTTAATCTTGTTATTGTTCTGTTATTTCTGTTTCAATTATTTATAGTTGTAAATTATTTATAATTGTGTTATTTATAATTAATTATAATGTTAGTAATAATAATTAATGGCTAATAATTAATTATAATATTACTAATTGTAATTAATAGCTAATAATTAATTATAATATTAATATTATTAATATTAATTATAAATTAATTGTTAATAACTAATTACAATTTTAATTATTAGCTAATAATTAATTATAACAATAAAATTAATGATCAATTAATTAATCAATAATTAATGATCCTAAAGTTCTGAATGTTCAAATGAACGAAATTTATTCGTTATTCTTTTTCAAATTAAATTTTTATTACAATAATTTTGCGTCACTGTCAAAACAATTATTATAGTTTCTGAATGTAGAATTGAAGTTTTTAATTTCTTTTGCAATCAGAAATTGTTTGAAAATATTTTTAATAATAAATATTACGTTTATTTAAACGTTCAAAAATTGAGGATTATATAAATTAATTAAAAACTGATAATTAATTATAAATATTAATTAGTAGCTAATAATTAATCATAATATTAATTAATATTTTATGATCCTAAAGTTCTAAACATTTAAATGAACGAAATTTAATTTAAAAAATAATTTTAAAACAAATCAGTAATTTATGAAAATATTTTTAATAAAATATATTTCGTTTATAATAATAATTATTATTAATATAAATAAATTAATATAAATAAATATTAATATTCAAAATTTGTGAATTGTAATAATTATAATATTGACACTATTAATTAATAATTAATGAGTCTAAAGTTCAGAATGTTCAAACGAACGAAATTGATTTATTTCTTCTTCAAATTAAATTTTTATTTAATTAATTTTAGGTTCAAATAATTTTTTTCCAATTAGAAATATTAATAAGTTTCTAAATGTATAATTAAAGTTTTTAATTTCTATTCTAATTATTAAATTTAAATTTAGAAACTTTATATTTAAATAATTTTTTTATTGTAAAATTTTTGGACAATAAAAAAATTAATTAAATATAAAGTTTCTAAAAATAAAATTTAGATTTTTATTTCTTATTCCTTATTGCAATCAGTAATTTATGAAAATGTTTTTATTAAAAAATATTTCGTTCATTTGAAAGTTTCAAAGTTTTTGGTTCATAATAATTATAATAATAATAATTAGTAATATTAATTAATAATTAAAGTTCCTAAAGTTCTGATCGTTTAAATCAGTGAAATTTATTTATTTCTTCTTCTAATTAAATGTTTCATTGCAATAATTTTGTGTTGAACTAATTTTACAATAGAGAAAATAAATTATAATTTTTCTAAATGTAAAATTTAGGTTTTTAATTTTCATTGCAATCAGTAATTTATTAAAATACGTTTAATAAAAAATAATTTGTTGATTGAAAAGTTTAATACTTGTGAATATTAATTAAAATAGTACACTAAAAAAATTTATTTGATTCAAATAATCGATTACTTAACTATTATCAATTAAATATACGTAAAAAAAATTAATTATAAAGTTTCTAAATGTAAAATTAAAGTTTTTAATTTCTATTTTAATCAGTAATTTAAAAAAAATTACTTTGATAAAAAATATTTCGTTCATTTGAAAATTTAAAAGTTATGGATCATAATAATTAATTATAAGTTTAATATTAATTAATAATTATAAAATTAATATTATTAACAAATAATGTTTCTTAATGATTATAATTATAAATAATTTAATTATAAAAAGTTACTTCTGTACTAAGTTATTAGTTTTTTTTAACATAGTCACCAGAATTTTTTTCTTTTGATTTGCAAAATTTTCTTCAGCATAATAAAAAAAAAAATTCTTTGATGTTTTTTTCGGGAGATAATTTCGTGAAGGTTCGCCGAGAAAATTGACAAATGTAGATTATTGTTTATCACCTTGTTGGTTGTTGAAAATGTAGTCTCCTCTTTCGAAACATTTTTGAAAATACCTCGAAAATAATTGAAGTTTGTAAATATTATTTTAAAAATAGAAAAGTTGAAATTGAGTTATAAATGAATTGCATCGAGTGGAAATATGAGTTTTGTACATCTCGTGAATAATATTTTGACAAATGTGTAATCTTCTGCTTGTTGGTCATGTTGCAATAAGGATTTTTATACAAGGCTTCTATTAAAGAAAAGTCTTACAAAAAGATTTTTTTAGCCATTAGGCCAAACAAACCAAAAACATTTTATTTCTAAAAAAAAGTTTGTAATAAAAACTCTTTTTTTTTGGTAGAAGAGCTTTCAGCGAAAAAGTAATTCACTCGCGAAAATTCCATTTTTAACTTATTCGTTTTTTCACCCTTTTTTGATTTCTTTTTGATTTTTTGACATTCTTTTTATCATCATACGATGAGGAAATTTTTTTTTTTCCAAAAAGAAGATATTTTTTCTAGGGTAGCGCCACGAAGCGTCTAAGACCGGAAGCTCTCATTACTGGCTTTAAGCCAGGAACCCCGAGGTTCACTGAGAAGCCGAGAAGGCAGCCCGAATCAGTCTGTGACATGGCCGCTTTCGCGCCGACAACGTTTTTTCTATTTCGCGATATGTAAATGTTTAAACATTTATTGACTCCATTATTCTCTATATATTCGGAAGTATAAGTTATTTAATTACAGTGTAACAAAGTCTAGTCTCTCTCCTCTCTCATTTCTTCTTTTAACTTTTCATTTTTCAAGAATAAATAAATAAACAAATAAATAAATAAAAGAAAATAAATAGAAAAATTAATAGAAGATTATAACAGATTATTTAAAAGTATAAATAACAGAATAAACAAGAAATAAAAGAACAAGTAGCAGAATAAATAAAAAAAATTGATGTATATATTAAGAAAAAGATGGATGATCACAATTCCAGAATAATAGTCATACATTAGCAGAAGGAACTTCGTATTTATGACTTTCAGCAAAATTGTTTTAGAGCAACGATTCCACTGCAAAGAAACCTGAAAACTGGAGATCTACTTACTATTTCACCAAATTCTCTTAATTTATACAATTTCAATGAATTAATAATTCCAAAATTGACTTAAAACAGGAACTGATTAGTGAAAAATTTGGATTGTTTTTATTAAGGGTGAAGATGAACAGGAAGTAAAATGTAAGGAGTTAGAAGAAAAAAGTGTGTGAGGGAGAGAGTGCGAGAGAGAGAGCGAGAAAAGGGAAAATAAGAATTGAAAAATAGAAATGAAGAGAATGAATGAAGTGGAGATGCCTGCAGCAAATGAAGCATCTCGACAGTTATATTAATGAAAAAACTACTTCTCTACGACACAATAACCATATAATTCATCATTCCTTTATTGAAAAAGAGCATTCCTGGCAAGATTTTTTTTTGTGAACGAATAATTATTTATTGAGAGAAAAAGAGGAAAGAAACAAGTTCGAAAAAAAAATGATATATAATTTTACAAGATTAGCAAAACTTGCCTTCCTCAAATTTTCAAGTGTCTTAATCAAACGTACATAATAAATATAAATAGAAAAAGAAATTTATTTATAATATTCTTGTTCCAGTCATATATATAGTATTTAATTATACTTTCATCAATGCTCAATCGCAACATTTGTAATTGTAGTTCAATGTTGTATTGATATTTAGAAATTTATATTTAATAAGACTACTGTCAAATTATTTAATTAATTGATTAATAATATTAATTTACTGTTGATAATACAACAGTACTAAAAAAACTGTGGTTAAAAAAACTACTAGATTTATAACAGAAAGCGGTGATTAAAAATCAACTGTTGATAACAGGAATAGTGGATTTTTACTGACAACAGAAGCAGTAATTAAAAATCTGCTGTTGAACAATTTCTGTTTATGAAAAAGAAACAGTAGTTAAAAATCAACTATAGATAGCAGAAGCAACCAACCATTTTTGTCCTTTGACAAAAAAAAACAGTAGTTAAAAATCAACTATATTGATTACAGAAGCAACAAATTTTTCTGTGAACAAACAGAAAAAACAAGAAATAAATCGTCTGTTGATAGCAAAAAACAAAATTTTCTGCTGCCTATGAAAGAAAAGAAGAAACAGCAGTTAAAAATCAATTCTGTTTATGCAAGAAGAAAATCATCAAATCAAGATGATTCGTCCAAGAAATCGAATTGAAAACAAGAAAATAACAATGGGAAATTAAAAACAGTGGAGCTAAGAGTGAAGAATTAAGAGGATAAACGAAAAGTAGTTAAAATCAACTATTGATAAAGAAAACAACTTTTGTTGTTCATGGAAAAACAATAGAAGCAGATGAAGATGATGCAATGCGTTCATGAAATCGAATGAAGAGAAAAGAAATAATAGTGTAAAATTAAAAATAGAGTGAAGAAGAGTGAAAAAATAATTAAGAGGATAAAAAAATAATTTTAAAGATTTAAAATAAAAATAATAGTTTACATTAGAAAAATCATGGAACATCGCTGAGTTCGCGAGGATGCCTGAGCCGAGAGCAAAGCGCTGTAAACACTGTGATGGTATGCCATCTTGTTAGATGTGCATCAAATTAGCCTTAACAAGAACTATATGAGCGGCTTCAAAAACCATTCACCTTTTCTAATTTGGCATTGTTTGCAGTTAAACTAACATGAATTAACCAACAAATTGGAATCAAAACTTTATCTTCAATTTACTAATTTTTTTTTTTAATTTTTAAAAATTTTTTTTTCTAAACAGAAAACTATGTATTAGTGCATTTGTGTTATTGTGTTGTATACGTGTGTTCCTAGATTCGAGTGTTTCTTAATGCTTTAAGAATGTTTCATTAATTATTAATTATTTAATTGTCAATTAATAATCAATTAATTATTATTTAGTTGTCAATTAATTATTATTTAGTTGCCAATTAATTATTCATTAATTAATTAATAATTGACAATTAATTATCAATTATTATTTAATTGTCAATTGATTATTCATTAATTAATAAATAATAGACAATAATTAATTATCAATTATTATTTAATTTACAAATATTTATTAATTAATTATTAGTTAATTATCAATTAATTATTATTTAGTTGTTAATTAATTACTAATTGAGAATTAAGTAATTGATATTTAATTGACAATTAACTAATAATAATTCATTAATTAATTATCAATTAATTATTACTTAGTTGTCAATTAATAAATATAAATAAATAAAATTTATTAATAAATATAATTCATATTAATTAATAAATAATTTACAATTAATTATCCATTATTATTTAATTGTCAATTATTTATTAATTAGTTATTATTAAGTTGTTAATTAGCTATTAATTGAGAATTAAGTAATTGATATTTAATTCTAAATTAATAATCAAATTAATTATTGTTTAGTTGTGAATTAATTATTAGTTAAATGTCAATTAATTATTAGTTAAATGTCAATTAATTATTATTTAATTGTCAATTAATTACATTCAAAATACAGTATTAAATTATTATCTTGTTTTAAATATGAAGAAAACAATTGCAATAAAATGTTTCTCTAATAAAAATGAAGAGTAGTATTTAATACCTTGAGAATTTGACCATAATAATCCAAATATTATTTAAATTTCTAATTTTTACATTTCCTTATTGTTTTACAAAGAGAGAAAAAATTTGATTGAATTTGTTTAATTTTTTTCTCATTTGGCTCTGAAATATTTGAACGTCAACTTGAATTTTCCTTTTGTTTGTTTTTTTTCTTCTTGTCAAACATTTGATGCTTTGTGACCTAATATTTCTTTAAGTAATAATATTTCTTATTTCGTTAAGTAATATTATTTCTTATTTCTTTATAAGTGATAATATTTATTATTTTTTTTTTGAAAAGAAATATTTCTTTGAAGTTTTATTGTATTTTTTTATGTATAATATTTTTTTACATCGAAGAAACGTTCTTAATCGTTTAGTAAAAACTTTTTGAGTACAATTAAAAATGTTTATTATCATTTTTTTGTTTTTCCATATCGTGTTGTTCGTTTAATCCAAGTGTTAACATTTATAACAAATTTTTGCTTTTTGAATTTTTCTATTTTTAACTTTTTGTTTTGAATATCCACCGGCATGCTGTTATTATTATATAAGAGCGTTTTTATTAGTTTTTCTGACCAAAAAATAGAGTAGAATAAATAAATGAAATGAAATAAATAAATTAATAAATCCGAAATGGATTTAATTAATTAAAAAAAAATTAATATTTAATTAAATTGGGTTAAATTAAATTGACATCTTTTGCCATTAATTTTCCACGAGATAATATTTTTTTGGTTTATTACTTTTTTATTATATTGTATAACCAGAAAAAAATTATTTGATTTAGCATATACTAGACTTTTTTTCAATTTAAAATAAATTTTATTTGTTTCAAATAAAGTTTTTTGATTCAATTAAAGTTTATTTGCTTAAAAAAAATTTCTTTTGGTTTAAATAAATTTTATTTGTTCCAAATAAAGTTTTTTGGTTCAAATAAATTTTATTTGTTTCAAATAAAGTTTTTTGGTTCAAATAAAATTTTATGTTTTAAATAATTATTTTTTTACTCAAATAAATAATTTAGTAGATTTTGTGACTAATATACGTTTATTTAAATCAAGTATAAATTGTTTAGCAGAAACAAAATTTCTACATATATATTTTAAATAGAAAAATAAAAAAAAACACCTTCAATTGTTATTTACTCTCATATTTATTTGATTTTTATTTAGTAACGTTTGTGAACAAGTCGATTGCGTTATATACAAATATATTACATTACAGTACAGTGTAAAATTATATTGAAAAATTATAATAATTAAAAAAAATTTATTTGACTTAAGTTAATATTTACTTGATAGAAGTAAATATTTATTTGATACAAGTAAATATTTATTTGATGCAAGTAAATATTTGATACAATTAAATATTTATTTGATATAAGTAAATATTTATTTGTTACAAGTAAACATTTATTTGACACAAGTAAATATTTATTTGATAATAAACAAGTATCGGATTATTTAAACCAAATAAATTTTTTCAGTGTTTAAAAATAATAGAATTTAAAAATTTGTAATTCAAATTTTTGTTGAAAACACTAAAAAAAATCCAATTTCGGATAAATTACAAATAATTGCAGAAATTCAATTATTTTCAAGAGTGATAAAATTCTTCTCATAAAATTCAATTATCTTTCAAATTTAAAAAAAATTCTCGTCAAAATCCCAATTATCATTGAAATTCAATTCTTTTTAAACATTGTAATAAAATTTTTCGCAATAATACAATTATTTTCATAAATAATATAATTATTCTTCTCAGGAATTCAATTATTTTTGAAAATTTTAATAAAATTCTTTGAAACTATTCAATTATTTTTATAAATAATAAAATTCATTGCAGGATTTCAATTATTTTTAATAAATTTTTACAGGAATTGCTAAAAAAATGTTTAAAAAAATTTTTGAAAATTTAATTTCAATTTTTCGAAAAAATCAATTATTTAAAAAAAAAATTTTTTTTCAATTCTTTGGAACAATTTAATTACTTATTTACAAAAATATTAGAATTTTTCACAGGAATTCAATTAGTTTTAAATATTTTAATAAAATTGGTCGAAAGAAATCAATTATTTTAAATAGAATTTTAATTAAATTTTTTTTTGAAATAATTCAATTATATTCTTTTAGATTTTAATGAAATTCTTTCCAAGAATTCAATTATTCACATAAATAATTCTTCGAAAGAATTGAATTATGTCGATAAATAACAAAATTATTCCCAAAAATTCAATTCTTTTTAAACACTTTAATAAAGTTTTTTGCAATAATAAAATAATAAAATTCTTTACAGGATTTCAATTATTTAAAAAAAATTTAATAAAAAATCGTTGTAAGAATATAATAAATAAAATAATAAATATCAAATTTTTTAATATGATTATATTTTGATTATATTTCTAATTACAAACAATTGCATTTTTAAAAAATTACCTTCACAGTTCTTATAAATAATTGAATTTTGATGAAGCTGCTTTCATAATTTTTAAACATAATTGAATTTTGTAATAGTTGCTTTCATAATTTTTACACAGAATTGAATTTTGGAAGAGTTGTTTTCACAATTTATAAATAATTGCATTTTATCGAGTTTCGTACACAATTTTTTATAAATAATTCAATTTTGGAAGAGTTACTTTCAGAATTTTTAAAAATAATTAAATTTTTGAAGAATTGTGTTCACAATTTTTATAAAAAATTGAATTTTATAGAGTTTTGTTCAGAAATGTTTTAAATAATTGAATTTTGGAAGAATTGCTGTTTCAATTTTTATACAAAATTGAATTTCGAAATAATCGTTCTTACAATTTTGATAAATAATTAAATTTCAGAGTTTCGTTCACCAGTTTTTTTTTATAAATAATTGAATTTTATTGTGTTTCGAACACAATTTTTTTTTTACAAATAATTCAATTTTGGAAGAGTTGCTTTCAAAATGTTTATAAATCATTGTATTTTAAAGATTTGTGTTCTCAATTTTAATAAATAATTGAATTTTAATGAGCTGCGTTTCGAATCATTATAAATAATTGAATTTCGGAAGAATTGTTTTCTCAATTTTTTATGCAGAATTGAATTTTAGAATAATCGTGTTTACAATTTTTATAATGAATTGAATTTTAGAGTTGTCTTCACAATTTTTTTTAATTAATTCAATTTTTGAAGAGTTACTTTCAGATTTTTTAAAAACAATTGAATTTTGGAAGAATTGTGTTCACAATTTTTATAAAAAAATTGAATTTTATAGTTTCGTTCACAAATTTTTTTGAATAATTGAATTTTGAAAGATTTTTTTTTATGAATTCATACAGAAATAATTTTGATAGAGTTGTGTTTAAAAATTTTTATAAATGAATGAATTTCGAAGAGTTATTTTTACAATTTTTTATAAATGAATGAATTTTTTATCGAAAGAATGAAATACGAATATTATTGTAGTTAATAAATAATTGTTAAGAATTTTCTGCGAATTGGTAATTAATTAATTTAATAATTAGCAATTTTACAATTGAAAAAAATGACCAAAAAAAATAAAAGTATGGAAAAAATGAATAAAAATGGAAAATTAGCACAACTTTTGAGAATTAATTTGTAGATAATGATTACAGGTGGGTAGATTGATTAAACTAGGACGGGACTTTCGATGAAAAGTGAGTCTTAATTAGAAACAGGGTTTTGTCTGTGGGCCATCGTATCTTGGTGCTCACGACGAATGCGTAGAGCGCATTGCGCATTCCAATGGGATTGCGACGTATTTTTAAACTCCGGTTATTCACCCTTAATACAGATGCATACATTTACTCATAGTGAAATAGAATCATATTAATGCAAATTGTTTATTTAATCTTAAAATATGTATATATAGAGAATATTGATTCACACTATTGGTCACTTAGATTTTTTCCCTACTATTCGTAAACTATACAAGAACTGTTTTCGTTCAAAACGAAAAACTGTTTCCGTTA